CACTAGAGACCGGAGAACGAAACTCTTCATTATTCGCATAAAAACGAGGCTGTAATCTTCATACTTAATATCAGCGATGCTGCTTTTAGTAGCAATTTCACTCCGAGAAATTTATAAATCGCTTACCAATGCCTTTTGCGTGGTGGGAAGACAGAAACTCGGCGTCTGTTCACTAGAAAAACTCCCATTCTGTGAGCGCAGGTCGACATGAAAGCAGTGTGTGAGAAAAGGATTGTGGCAAAGCTGGGCGTATCTGGCCTCTCACGCTGTGCTGTGGGGGCACCTGTTCGAAATGCTAAATGTGTTAGCTGATGATTGGTGCGGTTCTGCCAATATTTTTCTATGAGAATAGAGTGCGTGGGGGTGGATGGGTGAATGGGAGTGCTCGGCTTGTGTACCATGGGTCAGACAAAATAAGACCGTTAGACAGTTAAAGATTAGACGTGAAGCTGAGGGATGGAAATCGTGGCCTGAGTATAACTAATAAAGCAGAATGTACCCAGGAGATAAGATTAGGCTGTAGCCCTAAGCTGCGCTTCCGAGGGATGCTATTGAGCCTGAGGCTTTTGGAGATCTTTAGTCAGCTGATAAAACTCTGTGTGTCTCAAAAGCAGCTTCTTCACTATCAGCTGCTCCTTATAGCCTGTAAACATCGACAACAGATGACGTGAGATGTGTTATTGCACCGAAAATACGCTGATTAGAATTTTATGCACCGTGTCATCATTTTCAAGCTATTTTGTGTCGGTAACTCACATCAGAGTGGTCATTAGGAGCAGGTGGCTGTCCCATCCAGGCACTTGCCAATATATAATTGACCAAAGGCCCCCCTCAGCAGGGCCTTATTGATTTGGCACACGGGAAAGTTGTCCTACTCATCGCAGCACAAACTCATCTACTCGTTTTTCACGTATATGTTTAAAGGAATGCAGAGATGCTCCTAATACATATGCTAACTTAATCTTTGCCGGATTGAATTCATTCAGTGTAGACAGATCTTTTTGCTCCATGCCAATGTAGCCTCTACTCGACAAGCCCTTAAAGACCCATATAAAGATGCCCCTTCTCTTAAAGTAATAAGATGGGTGATGAGAGTTGTCCACATATAGCCAATGGCTCATAGCTGCCAAGTTGTAGAGCAGACAAGTAGTAGAGGTTCCTTGATCCTTACCATCCCCCCCCTGCCTCATCAACCCTGGGCCCCGCCCTGACAAATGCTCCTGCTGTGCTTATTTTGCTCATGATTGAGATGTCATTTTTACTTTCTGTTCAACTCATGGCATGACAGTAGATTGACCCGTGCATAATATCAAAGACTATAAATGTCACAATCTGGTAGTAGGAACTCAAGCGCAGAGCGGTTAGACGGCTCCAAAAACAGTTTATTTACAGCACTAGTGCACGATATACACAGTGAAGGGAAATCCAAACTCCAGGGAATCACAGGGAAGCTCTCTCACACTCGCTCACGTCTTCTTGCCCAAACTTACACACGTTCACACGGCAGGGCGGTCACAGGTCCGGGGAGGAAAGTCTCTGTAGCAGAAGAAAGGGAAGTCACTCACAAAGCACAGGTTCACAGGAGCTGGGAGAATCACTAACGTCTGTAGTACAATCATCCAGCGACAAGAAGATTTGTGTTCCAGCCTCAAATAGTGCTCCTAGGTGATGACAGCTGATTGTTGTCAGGTGTGTGGGCCAAGGGCGGGAGCCCACAGTGAGCTCCGCCCAGGCAGAGAGGGAGAGAGAGAGAGAGAAAACCAAACAACACATGTAGCCGGGCAGGAGACCATGACAATAAATATATGACTTTTCTTAATAAAAGCAATTAAATCTGACTACAGATTAAATTACCATTTAATAATTTGATGAATACAAACTCATTCTGAGATTATTGTCAGCAGTGCCATTTGGAATTGGTTACTAAGTAGGATCTGTTGATAGCAGCAGATTATTGCTCAGCAGAACCCCTGTTGCAGTCATTGGGCCATCTGTCCCACCCCAGCCAATGTCACTAGGATGATACTCCACTGGTGATGCAAAATGCATGAATCCCTGCCCTGTGCATTTCCTTTGGTGTGAGACAAATCTAGTGTACGCTTTTGTTTAAAGAGAAATGACTCAAAATATGCACCTAATGGGCTTAAAAGCCTGCATCAGAAGAAAAAAAAAGCTAATGCTTGCACTATAAGTGTACACTGCAAGTACCACAACTGAATCGAAACAGGCCTTTTTTTTAAAGCATGCTGTCATTGTGTCTTATGTAAGTGATGAGTATGCGTATTCAGTCTTCATCACAGCGTTTCTTGAAGTTTCACATTGCATTGTGTTAATTGGCTACTCCCACCAGCTGGAAGTAATGCTAATACACTGAGGAAAAGCCACCATGCTAGCTTCCTGGAGCGCTTAAGTGTGCCAGGGCATCGTGCATGCATCCCGTAGCTGGAAGTGAGCTCTTTGATGTGATTGCTTCTGAGAAACGTCATCTTTTATTGATGCTTCCATTAAAGTAACATAGACGTCTGTGTAGACTTGGTGGGGAGGGAAAGGGGGCACGCTGGTGGAACAGGAGTTTACCAGCTAACTGCACACAGAAAATACCCTCCCATCCACACCAGCACCCGTATTACTTATTTTTCCTCTAGTCCTCAGCTTAATACGGCTATTCCAATACTACACCTAGGAGTAAGTAACTTGACCTGATTTTTAAGTTAGCCTGCACCAGTGAGAGAAATCATTATCCCCTTTGGCAAATGATGACAGATGATGAATAATGTTGATCTTTTTTAGCAAGAGCACTTGTTATTTTCTAAGATATATTAGCAGCAGTTAAGTTATAGTAAACATTAGGGTTGAGCAGTTTTCTCCATAGTCTAATTATCTTATGCCAATAACCAATACCATAGCTGCCATGCAGCCATTAAGATTGAGGAATCTGCTGTACATTGTGCATAGTATGTGGTCCAGACATACAGCTGCACTGTAACTGCTGGCCAGAGAGGCAAAGACAGAGAAGAGGTTATGCCCCATTTCCAGCATAAAGAGAAAGAACCAGCTGGAGAGAGACGTTCACACACAGCCATAAATGATTTACACTTAAGTTTGCTTTAGGATTATTGTTCTTTTTATCATAGCTCTGCTAACTTGATCAGTCTGTTTGATGCATAAAGGTGGCTCACCTATCTCTTCCTGCTCTGGCTGTGCTCACCTCACACACAGCAGGGTCTTTTACCAGAAACTCACACAACACCTGGTGACATAAATAAGGTTAAAGACACGAGATAAACTAGCATCTCTGCAAACACACGGCTACATTAAGCTCCAATTTTAGAAATAGAAATGTTCCTCTTCTGTTTTCGCTTATTTTGAGATGAGAGTGGTTCACAACGGTAATTTGAAAGAGAGCAAATGTGGGAACGTGAACTTGTGTGTTCACACAGGAAAACAAGTCAAAAGGGAAAAAAAAAAGAGCACCTTGATTGGCAAGCTGTTGTCACGCACTCTGACTGTTGTTTATCATCATCCACTGATACAGCCTTAGTGTTGTAGGTGGGTGTAAAGGCCAGAACAACAAGGGCCAAATCATTATGGTAGATGACTATGGTTAGAGCAACTCCAAAATGACAGGGCTTGTGGCGCGCCTTTGACTAGAAGCGGTGAATAGCTGTCGAAGACAGTTTAAAAAATGGATGTAGCTACCGTGACATTACCCACTGTTTTCTGAAGTCCCATTTTGAAGACTTGATGAGATGAGTGTTTCTGACAAAACACAGGATGTGCGGGATCAACTTTGATGTAATTCACAGCTCTTTGAAGATGCTGGAGCTAAAAAATGTTTGTATCAGATACCACAGAGCATTCTCAGGTCTCTTTGTGTTTATGTGGGTCAATTATCCTACAATACAAAGGACAAACAGCATATTAGACAGAGGTGGTCATCACTGTCCAGCTGGTACAGTATTTGGCAGCAAAGGGTTGTTGCAGGCGGACAACTTCAGAAGTTTTGCTTGAGGTGAGATTTACAGCAGCTGGCCTTTATTAGGAAGTCATGAGTTTACAATAAACTATATATATGAAAAATTCTTGGACCAAAAACAGTACTCAAGCCGTTTTCCAAATGAATGCAGTAAATGTCAAAGGTTTTATTTGGGAAGTATTTGACTTGCAGCTTAATAAAGCTTTTAAGCTTGGCACTTTTTTGTTGTTCTTTAGCATTTTGCTCTCACTTTAAGAAATAAACTGTAATTTGTGCCAGTAAGTATGCTCTGAATGTTTAGTGCTGATTTTTATTTCATGAATTTAAATTTATCAGGCTTGTCTTATGTCACTACATGAAATATTTATAAAATCCCAGCAGAATGTTGTCTAGTTTTCCACAATACAGCAGATTCACTAGAGCACATTTTACTCATAACTTTCACATCAACTAATTTGTTATTCTTACTAAATTGTTAATATTATATATCAATAGTGGTAATAGAGTTAACAACAAAAGGAAAAGGAAAAGTTGTGTCGATTCACTGCTTCAACCAGAACTTCTGTTTTTCATACATCGTTAAAGGAGCTGAAAAAGAATAGATAACTCATTTAATTTTTATTTATATAGAACCAAAGCACAACAGCAACTCCCTTTTTAATGAGAAGATTCCTCATGTTTCTTCCATCTGTGGTGACTGGTTTGGGAGAGAAGGGAAGAGGGAGACATAACAGGAAACAAAGTATGGAAGAAAGCCAGTAATTAATAATAATTAATGATTAAATGCAAAGTACGTAAGTAAGTAAGCACAAAGAGTGAAATGCAGTGAGTGAAAAAGAAAAACTTATGGGAAACCCCATAAAGACTCAGGGTCTCTTGATCCAGCTCTAGCTAAAGACACATTGTTAGTTCTGGAGTTTATTTTCCCAGTGGGGATGTTTTGGTCAGATGAATAGACAGTCTTTCTGAGGACGTACTTATTGATGGTATTAATAATTTCTTCTAATCCCTGTCTTTAATCCAGGGTCCTCCAGGGAAGTAAAAGCTCCCGTGGAGGTCTCAGAGCAAATGGTCCAGAAGCTAAGAGGCAAGAATGAGTTTACTGTGTTGGTGACCCTCAAACAGGATCACCTGAACTCTGGGGTGATCCTCTCCATCCATCATTCTGAACACAGGTAAGATCACTTCTCGTTTCACCACGTGTGTAAAACGGCTTTTGTCGTACACAGGTAAAGTGGAGCATTAGCTAATTTTGGATTTATTTGCAGATACATGAATGGAATACACTAAATAAAATACATTTTAAGAAAGTTCAGTGATGCATGTGTATCACTGGGAAACTAAAGTATAGCTCATTTAGTACAGTGAAGCCTGTCAGAATAAATCTCCCTGCCCAATGATTGCAGTTTTGCTCTAAATTTAGTAACTCTCTGTTCTGTCATATGAGCAGACTGGATATTTGTATTTGATAAGCATTTAGATGTTTTACACACTAGTCAAATAAACAAAGAAAATCACCCTGTATGCCAGAGTATTATTCACAGTCCATCAACGATGCAAGCGTCGAGTCTGTAATTGTGAATCGAAAACTGATGAGACACTATCTGCAGTTAGCATGCTAATGTTTTCCATTACTTTGTGGTAGCTGAGCCGTTGGATGATCAGAACAGCAATCTAAATTCCACATAATGCGTTGATTGAACAGTCTGTACATTAAAGTCGGTCCTGAGAAGAGAGCTCACAGGGATGTTAATGACTTTCTCTCACTGATGATTAGCCTTCCCAGCCATTCATATGCAACAAAGCAGCACTGCATGGTTTCATTTAAAACATGGCAGAAATAATTCAGCATCCAAAGTGTTAGCTAGTGCGTTTATGGAGTCAAGATGAATGTGCATGCATGGCTAGGGGAGAGTAAATCTATTAGATGTGGTTTGCAGATAAATCAATTCCATTGCTACACTGTCTATTTTTCTTTTGAATAATGTTTCTTGAAAATGACTCTTGTTCAAATAAGTCTGTCTTTAAAACGCTGAGGTGATGAGTGTGTATCGGCAGCTCTTTCCATTAGTGTCACTGTGCTGGGTGAATCTCGGTGGTGTGGAGAAGAGGATTCTCCTGGAATGCTAATGCTCTAACGTAAAGAGTTGAATCGCTGCATGCGGGCCATTGCTGTGTGCTGCTGATGTTGCATTAGACAGCAATACAGCACCCCTATGTTTAGCCTTTAATGTGATCAAATTCTTAATAGAGGAGTTCAGACAGTTTTGCATTTCTTTGTGTGACAAATACATTTTTTTAAGCAACACGACTTTGTAACACTGTAAGACGCAGGAAGGTGTCACAGAACTTACCATGGTTTTTACTTAAGTTGCTGGAACTTTTGTGTTGCAGGTTCCTGGAGCTCGAGAGCAGCGGCCAACGGAGTGAAGTACGCCTTCATTATCGCACCAAAGGGCAGCAGGATCACACGGAGGTGTTCCCTTACAGCCTGGCTGACGACCAGTGGCACAAGGTCTCTGTCGCCATCAGTGCATCTCACATCATACTACATGTGGACTGTAACAGGTAAGATCCTGAATTGAGAGTCTTCGCTTTTAAAAGGAAAAATACAGATTTAAGTGTCGCTTGTGTATCAGCTTCAAACTTTGCATGTACTAATCTCATGCAACATACCGCGCAAGGACCTTCATTATCTGAATGACCTGATCTGCCATAATATAATTAATTCACATAAAATCTGTTTTCTGAGTTTCTGCAATGAGTTGCATTTGTAAGCCTCCAACTCACACGGCAATAGATACTGCTATGTTAAATCATGTAAAAATTATTGCAATGACTCCAGGCTTAGAGAGATACCGATTTTAAATTTGGGGAAAAAAGAGATTTCTCATACTGAATTAGCATGTGGTGCTTTAATTTAAATAGGACTTTAAATTACTTTAAACTAAGTGATCAAATCTATTCTGGATCATCTTTCAGGGTTTTTTTGTCTGTGTCTTTGCATGGAAAAATACAATGTGTAATATCTCTCCAAAAGCAGAAACTCACTGAAAGACAATAGTGAAACCAAAACCTGTTAGGTAACAATACGGCGCTTTAAACTACGGTTTGTGTTTTTAGGCCATGGCGTGCTGCGTTGTGTATGGACCGTGTTCACTTGCTGACTCTGGCATGCACGTATCGACATCGGCCATATGTCTCATGGGTCCGGCGCAGGTTGAACTCACCTTGAGGAAACCGGCGTTTTTACATGCCTCTGCTGCTCACTATGACATGGGAGTCACTGTTTGCGTGTGATGATCCTTCTTGGCACGATAAGAGAACAGACGGCAACGCCATGTGCATCCAAGAAAGCATGTGGCTATCTATACCCTGCATAGGGAAAGAGTTAACAGAAGGATTTAAAAGGGCAGGACCTGCAGTGTGGGTGGGGGGTGGGGAGGCATCTTTTCATCACATGAGCCAAACAGGTAGCATAACTGACTTTTTTGTGATTTTAGCCGTTGACCAATTTATGATCATGTTTTTTCAGGATCTATGAGCGGGTGGTGGAACCTCCCTACATGGACATACCCGAGGATACTTCCTTTTGGCTCGGACAAAGAAACGCTGCTCATGGCTTCTTCAAGGTTAATGCTGCAATAAAAACCTCTTTTCCAGAATATATGCATGCTGATGCCTCTCCTGATCTGTCATTACTAAGCCATAAATGATTCAGAATAGCACAAACAAGTAATTCATTTCAGCTGCGGCACCATCTTTTCACCCCGTACTCAGTCTTGGTTTATACTGTATCCTTTCCCTCTTTGTTTGGCTTGTTTGTTTTTATTTATTATAGCTGTTGGATTTAATTGCATGCATTTCTCAAGGCTTACCATTTTAATTTGAGAGCTGCTCTGCCTACCCTAGGAATTGACATTTTTTTGTCACTGTTTGTTCCCTGTGCCTTAGTCTGCAGCTAAGCCCAGTGCAATTATCTCAGCAACCCCCACCATGCTTATTTGGGAGAAATCATTAAATAGCCTCTGGACTATGCTCATTAAGCTTAGTCTATAGTATTGTTTTTCAGACAGAGAGACTTATATCGCCTCTTTCAGACTAGACCGCACTCCCGAATTTCCCACCTGGGGAGACTTGCTGGGGCAAAATGTCAGCTTACTAGCAATTTTAACTACTTTAATCAATCTGCTGGTGACTAGGTCTGTGTTTGATGGTGCGGTGATGGCTGTGTGTATGTGTACCTGTTAATGCTTTATACACTATGTCCTGGCATTTGAATTTCCTCTGTGTTAATTGGTTGATGAAAGAAGCTCTGGAGGTCACCCACTAATCTTGTCACACAGCAGCATCTGTGAATCCTTGATTAGTTGCTGGGAAGACATCTCCTTTTTTTCTTTTTCTTTCGTCTTTTTTAAACACTACTTCATTAGGACACATGCACGCCCACACACATAGAGAAATGGTCAATATCTGTATGTGTTAGCTAAAAATGAGAAAATCATCAAGACTTTAGACAGAGCACATGCACTGTTGCTTCTTTACTCAAGAAGTTTGTTTGTTTGTTTTTTTACATTCAGACACTATAGATAACTAAATGTCTTATCTAGTAACTGAAGTTATGAATTCTATCAAGTCAGAATTTTTCAGTAGTTCATTTTTTTCTTGGCCTGGTAGGGTATCTAATTTTTGCAGATCAAAAACTGGATTAATTTTTTCTATGTGTTAATATTAAGTATTTTCTCACTGCCCATTAAAAAAAATCCCTCTTTACTTTCTAAAATATTGTTGGGCACAGTTATTAAATAATAGCTCCCTTCTTTCACACAAACACAACAATATTTAACCACTAAAAATTTCCTATTCAGGGATGCAAGCAAATAACTGTAATTTGGCATCTTAGTTTAAACAAAACAATAATGTGCAAGTAATATGCAATACACATTATAACACAGTTTCTGTTTATAGTTTGTAGCAGTTGTATTTTGCAGAATTTATACTGTGCCGGTAAGTAAATAGTGTTATTTCAAATTTGATCGACACAGCTCCTATCTTCTGCCATTTCTGCACGTTACCGTGAAAAATCAGCAAATAATTTCCCCAGGATTTTAAATTTATGGTTGGCAAATTGAAGTGGCGAGACAATTTAAAAAAACAATTTCTCCTAAGTTGCACTGTTCCACTTCTGTAAAGGTAATAAATGCACCCATGGAGTGAAATGGACCTGGTTACTATGGCAACAGAGTGTCTGAACACAGGTATGTGTTTGGGATTCGGACGTAGGACAATTTGGACTTGTGAAATGATTGAATCTCTATCTCCTGTTTATGCTTATCAGAGGAGATTGGAAAAAAAAAATCCACGTTCCAGCTAAATTGGCCACATAATTAACCTCCTGTAGGTTTGCAGATATGAGATGATTGATCAGAGCGACAGTCTGGGACACATATTATCCAACAATCACCCAACAACCTGTCTGTCATACTTCACAGTGAAAAACACAATTCTACCTGTTTATTTTTGTGAGGATACATATGCTTGGGTCCCACATTATCTCAAACATTAATTACTTAGACAACTTAGAGAAATATTACCACCCTACCCACACTCCCAACTCTCAAAGTACTCATGTATTTACTACACCTGCTTGATGTTTCTTCTATATTTTTCTTCTTTTTAGCATGAGGTGTTACTCCCTATGATCAAAAGGTTGTTATGTCTGTGTATGTAGGGAGTGATGCAGGACGTGGAGATCCTGGTGATGCCACAGGGTTACATCTCACAGTGTCCAGACCTTAACAGAAGTGAGTGCAGTAATCCCATTACTGTTGATTCTGAATAACCCTCCAACTTAGTTTACACCGATTTTAACTTATTTACCTGCAACCCCACTTTTAGATTACAGTATAGATAAAACGTACATTTTGTATTTATTTGATATTATTATTTATTATTAGTAGTATTTTTAAATCCTGAGTAGCGCTAAGGCGTTTAACAGTTGTGGGGTGTTTTGCAGTTAGTCAATCAGCAAAAAGTGGGTTTTCTTGTGTGATCGTTATCCTCATTGTTGCCACGATTTTGATGATGGTTCAGTTTTATTCAGTTTTGCGAGGACAAAGAAACCAGCTGTTTATATCAGTGCAAAAAGCTGTGAAATTTTATCTGAGAAAATATGCTAGATGAAATAAACTGTATCAGGCATATTTCAGAAATCGGTTTCACATTACTTTTAAGTGGCAATCTGTGAGACTATTTGATTTAGAAATGTTCTGATACAATGTTTTTTTCCCCATTCAATCACTGGTTGTACAGTGAAATGTTTTATTGTGCGCTATGATGATGTGTTTTCACTAGGAACCTTTTTTATATTCCAGGTGGCTGTTTTACCGATCTCATTGTCAGAGTTTCTGCAGACAAAAACTATTTTTGCAGAGAGTGAAAACCACACACCCACACCTCATGCTTTAAAATGATTTTTCACATGGATTATATGTTCCTGTCCCTCAAAAAGTTTGCTTAATGTGTTTTCCAGTAAATTACACCCTTTTACAGAGAGGACATTTTTTTGTAATATAAAATAACAAGTGAAATTTCCTCCTTCAAAGAAAAACACATTAGCAAGTATTATTAATGTTATTATTAATTATTAACTATTACTGTTAAACTACTGAACTGTTTCTACTATTAAAAGTGTTTAAAAACTGTTATATTGTTAGACAGGTTTTTATCTGCTATAGTTATGATGCAGTTAACATAGATTTTTAGATATGATGACCACGTTATTGCACGTACTTAAGTTACTTTTGTATTGTTCCTTGTATGTCAGCATGTCCAACCTGCAATGATTTCCATGGACTAGTGCAGAAAATCATGGAGCTACAGGATATACTTGCAAAAACATCCAGCAAGGTAATGTAATGTGTATGTTATTTGTGCTGATTTGACATTTAATCCAAAACAGAGAGAGGAACGGTAATTGCTCCTTTGAATTAAATGAGTAAAATATATCCCCTTGTCAGTACGGTTCTGTTATTAACATTCACAGCAACAGGCATTCAGAGCCGTATTAACATTTGGCTCTGCCTATTAATGAACTCTTTTCTCTTCTGATGGAGAGACTGAGAATGTATGAGGTGTTAATAGTATGAGTTTTGTGATGCTACTGGTTTGCTTTCGAAGCTCCTTTTTTCATGTGAATATAGACATAGAATGAGGCTGACTCATGTCTTCTTTTCTACTTGGTTTTTGTCTTTCGGGTGTGTGTGTGTGTGGGGGGGTGTGTGTGTGTGTGTGTGTGTGTGTGTGTGTGTGTGTGTGTGTGTGTGTGTCGGGTGTTGGTGGTGCAGCTGTCCAGGGCGGAGGAGAAGATGAATGGGCTGGATGGCTGCTATTGTGAGAGAACCTGCAGCGTCAAGGGGGTCGTCTACAGGGAGGATGAAAGCTGGACAGATGGCTGCAGGAATTGCACATGCACGGTGGGGCTTCTCACGAGGGTGCTCGACTGCTTCTGCGTGCATGCTAGTGTGTGTGTGTCTGACCATTAAAAGGAAAGGGGAGGGGACATTCGGTTTTGTGATTGTGTGCATTTGAACATACTGGGTCTGAAATTATGTACTTGTCTCGCTGTGTGTGATTATATGTTTGCAGGCATGTGAGCGAGATATGAATGTGTGCGGGCATTTGTATGAATGGGATATGCATTTGTGTCTGACAACATGCATTTTTAATCATGCATTGTTGTATTTATTGTATCGTGTGCATGCCTCAGTTGATGTGCGACTGTGTATGCAAGCGTCTGTGTGTAGACATACATTCTCTGCTCTTATTGTAAGCTGCCTTTTTGTCTTGAACCCCTGTTGATCAAGTGTGTGAAGATAGGGGTTTGGGTGAGGTAGAGGTGCAAAGTGCAGGGGCACCGTTGTTGACAGCTTGTAGTATCATTATTTTCATGCACTAGCTTGAGGGTTGCCCTAGTTACCCAAGAAAAGATACTGTATTAAAAACCTCCACAGTACTCAGGATTAGACGCATCAACAGCAGTGCTTAATAATACGCTATTCTCTCAAGGGTCTACTTTGTGCTGCACAAAGTGTGAATAATTGCCAAAAGAAGAATTATAAGCGGCTGGAGATCTTGTGCTTGTACTACATCGACAAACAGATTTCACTGGCTTTCAGTCTACTCAGCTTCGGAACATGAAACTCATTCACTGCTACTGAACTGCTCCAACCAGCCAATGAGATGACTTTGCGCACCACTGCCCAACATGCAAAAGATAGGAAATCACATATCTCTCAGTGCACCGCACCTAATTGCACTTGACAGATGATAATTATCATCAGGGATTTGTTCTACCCACTCATCCAATGAAATCGCTTCATTCGTCGGGATAGATGTTTTGCCACTCCTGGGCTGCAATTAAGGCATTAAATGGGATATGTTCTTACCTTATGTGTGGTAATTAGCTGTGACCTTTAAAATTCAAAGGTCATGCATTAAGATGTTATCAATTATGTGGATCAGGTTCATAAATGTTGCTGTCACAGAGCTTTCATCCGTGGAAACTATGTTAATTACAGTAACAGCCGGAGAAAAGGAGATAGTATTGAAATATGTTAGATATGCAGATTACTGTAGAAATCTTCAGTTTAGTGGATTCGCAGCACAGTATTCATAGTCCTCGGCTTGGCCAGAACCCTCTGAATATTTAGAAGATGCAACATAGGATTTGGGGGGTTGAGTAAGCTGCAAACATCTGTGCATCCTGTGATTTATAATGTATTTATAATGGCATAATTACAGTCTAAAATGCATTAATTTCAATAGCAGCCTTGCATGCATTTAGCCTATGCCAGTTATACAAATGGGGTGAACAATATAATAGAAACATCAACATAATGTAGTAGTTCATCATTACCAAAAAATCAACAAATACTAGCTTCATAAAAATATAATTTATTGATGGACCACTGTGTTTAGCTTCAATTGTATGTTGGACAGTAAGGATTTAAAAATGGCTGACAGAAATTCCAATGTATGTTTGAAGTCCAGAAACAATGTTATTAGCCAATATCAGCCTTTGATATTAGCTGTTTCATCATCATTTATAAAAGCCAGTACATAAATTAAAAAGGAAGAGATGTGAGAAACACCCTTCAACTATTTTATGAGTGTCGACACTGCATAGATTGCCCACCAGAGGGCGCTCTGTAACTTTCCTGCAGTACCCCACCAATTACCACCAAACAGTACTGCCAGGAGTTCTCGAGTATTCCAAGTAAAGATTATATTTAATTAGCATTGTTATATTATGTTAATGAGGACAATTATTGGGGAAATCTATTTGCGTTTGAAAGAAAAAAACAATATTGGCCGACATATCAGATTTTTAAATCACCAAATATCAGTGTGGGTATCGGTAAAACCCGATATTAGTTGTTTTCCAGTTTTTCCAGTCTTATTTTTTAATGTTAAATCCTAATTATTATATATCTTGTTCAAAATGTAGTATTTGCCCAATTTAGGCGATTATTTCCAAAAAAGAAAATCAATATAAATATAGTCAGATTTTTAGAATTGTTGATACTGAAGTAATATGTATCAGTTCAAGCACCAAACGCCCAGTGTCACTTGAGTTCTACTAGTCACTCTTTAAACTAAGTGTTGTGTTTCTCTCTACCAGAATGGCACGGTGCAATGTGAGGCCATCTCCTGCCCTCCCCCTCAGTGCCCGGCGGGCACAGTGCCTGCCTACGTAAAGGGTGCCTGCTGCAAGGAGTGCCAGCGTGAGTGAAGTACCCTTAACCTCAGCACCCTCCTACACTCATACAATCATGGACACAATTGCGCACAAACGCGCACACATAACAGCAAAACAACCTCCATCACCAGATTTAGAGCACATATAACGCCTCCACAAGGGCTGCCTGACAATTGACCAGGGCTCTGCTGTGTTGCTAAGCTACCTCCTAACATGTCTCTTGAGATGAGTCCATCCTTTTTGCATATACATGGACCAATCAATTATTCACTAGCTGGCTTTCAAAACACAGATGGCCACCAGTCACACAGACATGAGCCAGTAAATCTGGGATCGCTGCATGTGATGTAAACTAGTTCCTATTTATGGCATGGCATGTTGAGGCTGTGAGAAAAGTGAAGAGGAAGGGAATGTGAAGGGTCTAAAACGATGCTCATAATCACACTGGCAATAGTGTCTCCATAAATGTCCATTTATTAACTTTTGAACACTGATATGTTCTAGCTGGATAAATAATTCCATTTCATCACATTGCTACATAGAGGGTCTGTTTTTTTTTTCTTTTTTCCGAAAGACTTTGAGCTAAGCAATGAACTCTTATTAGCCTCTTCACCGCAGCACTCTGCATCTCATATTCTCTCAATTCCCCTCTCAATAAAAATGGATTTCAGTGGGTATTATCGTATTATCTTTTTTTTTTACATTCTGCTGATAGTATCCCAAATGAAACTTTAACAGATGTGATATATTTTCTTTTGAGAGGCAAAAAGAACTGCCCGCCAACTTATAGAACACAATCTAGCACATGCATTAAGCAAAGGAATTTATTACCGTACGTCTGAGTGTTTTCAATAACTGGTGTTCTCACCTGAGATGTGTTGAAGGTTACACACCATATGAGCGATAGAAAAATGTACCAGACTCTGTGCGTGTGTATAGTATTTCTTAGCAGATTTGACTCCACGTCTTGTGCAGGCTGACTTCATTTGAGAGCTTCTTCATCACAAGCACCCACGCACTTCTGCCATCCCTCTTCCGGCTTTGCTTGTAAGCGAATGACACAGTGAAAATGCTGCAAAAGCAAATAATAGACAAGATTTACTCTCTATCAGGAAGAGACAATTAGTCTGGGATGCTAATCATCTCGTGTCAGCATCTTTTTCCACGGAACCATAGGCCTAGGCCGATACGCAGGGGCTTTAAGCGGGACTGTAAATCTGCTGCCGTGTTACCCAAATACAAACACGTAGCAAGTAATGCCCTTAAACTCAATATCCCTATTCTCCCTTGTGTCAATGAGGTAGACAAACACACAGCTAATTACACGTGCTCTCGCTTTGGAGAGAAGTGTACCGCAAGTTTCCTTGCTACAAAGACATGATTTGCTCTCCAAATTAAAGGCTTATCTCACAGCGCCGGGCCTTCCAGGGAGGAGTTCTGAGTCTCTATGTTTTTGTGTGTGATTGTCTGTCAAGTAGAGCGCCAAATGGCTGTTTCAGAAGTCCTTCGCTTTTATGATACGCTGCTTTGTGATAGGGCCTGACCTCCAGTGTCAATCATTTCTCCCCCTTGTATCAGACTAGATCTGTCTGACCCCAACTGCTCATCAAACACACGCTTTCTGCCCATGTGATTATTTTAACCTCCACCACCCCAAGAACCCCCAGTTACATGAAATGGCTTCTCCTCAGTGCCTCACTCAGGAGTGCTTTCTCCCTCTGCATATTAATTATGCCATCACTTCTTCTGTTGTTACTTAATTGAGTTTGACACGCTTGATTTGGTTCAACTCTACTCACCTGAGGGCTTTAAAAAAAAGGTCTCACAAAAAAAGTGTAAATAATAAGGACAGAGTGCGTGATGCACGTTAAACAGCACTGTTAAATAACTCTTGACATCTAACTAGTGTTTGCGGTCACGGCTGAGCGGAGACGCACAGATTTGGGTTCAGCAGTTACAAAAAGAGAACAGTATGAGTCAAATCTTTTTCAGATGAAACAAGAAAAAACCTCACAATCTGAACAAGAGCCTCTATTCTTTACAAACAACAGCAATTCAGATCAACTTCCTGTTAGATCCACATCATCTACGAATTTCAAGAAAGGTCCCCTAAACAATTTCTAACACTCCTTACTTTCCCTTTAAATTGTTATTTCAAATGGAAGCTCTCACATCATTTGTCTTTTTTAGTTTGTAGCATTTGGTCATTTTCTAAAACAATGCTGTTAGCTTTGTGGCATTTAAAAAACAAGGGTCATAATGTTTGCTTCCTTTTTTTGAAGTAATTTTGTTTGTCTGGATATAAACCAAGTAGAAATGAGCTCGGGGCTTGTGCAATTTCTGTTTGAGATAATTTTCTTACATGTCACTCTGACCTCTTTTCAAAATATTTGAATCTTTCTGCTCTGCCAGCCTGGAGAAAAATAGTGTCTCTTTATCAACTGTGTATTTAGCTTATGGGCGTGGTGCATTTTTTTAAAATTATATTGATTTAACTTGGTGGGAGTTACACATGCTTGCATTGACCAGTTTTTAGTGTATTCACCACCTGCAACACATGCCAATTTCCTCTGCTTAGTTTTCAGCAACCGAATTGTTGTTCCTTGCGTGTAGCTTAAACTGTGAGCTCTCTCATGATAGGATGTAAGCAGATTATAAAATTCTGATGAGCCTTTTTTTAAAGAGCCTTTTGTCCTCATTATTTCAGCCGCTGGTTGTGAGGTCTAGTAAATTAGTTATGATGATGCGATTTTACAATTCAGATTAAATTTGTATTGGAATTCTTCAGAGAACATGCAGATCCCAAATCTTTTCAAGCCGTATAAGAAGCTCCAAACCAGAATGAAGCATCTGTTCTTCCTGGGGTGAAAATGTGGTTACCCCTAATTTGGGTGATATTGTGACAGATTGTTTGGCTCTTTTAATTATTTTCCCACATCATACTAAATCATTTGTATGATGTCAGAGAATATATACACTGCTCAAAACATTAAAAGAACACCTTTTCATCAGAGTATAGCATCAGGTCAGTTAAACCTCTGGGATATTAAACTGGCTAGTTAAGTAGCAGTAGGGTGTGTGTGTGGGAGGGGGGGGTTTATTAATTAGTTTCAGCTGCTTTGGTGTTAATTAAATTAATAAGAGGTGCACCAGAGGTACAACAATTAGGCAACTTACAAAACAGGAATGGGTTTACTGTTAGATGCCACTCTGTTGCTTTTGCTAGTTTTTGCAGTTCTGGATCCTACAAATTCAATTACACATTAATACGTGCCATTGCCAGAAGGTTTGCTGTGTCTCCCGGCAGAGTTACAAGAGCATGGAGTAGATTTCAGGAGATGGGTAGTTGCTCGAGGAGAGCTGGACACGGCCGTAAAAGATCCTTAAACCATTAGCTGGACTGGTATCTGCAGGAACAGGATGAGCACCGCCAGAGCTACAAAATGAGCTCCAGCAGCACACTGTGTGAATGTCTCTGACCAAACAATCAGAAACTGACTTCATGAGTGTGGCCTGAGTGCCCAACATCCACTAGTGGGCCCTGTGCTTGCTGCTTGGCATGATGGAGTCTAATTGGCATTTGACATAGAATATCAGAATTTTGCAGGTCCACTACTGGCGCTCAGTGCTTTTCACAGATGAACACGTGCCAGAAATGAAACGTTCTGGAGAAGCCATGGAGAACATTATGCTCCCTGTAATATGGTTCAGCATGACTGGTTTCCTGGTGGGTCCATAATGATCTGGGGAGGCATATCCATGGAGGTATGCACAGACCTTTGCTAGGCAGGCTGACCACCATTAGTATCAGCACAACATCCTTGGACCAATGTCAGACGTTCCTGGTGCACAACAATACCCGGCCTCATGTGCTGAGGATATGCAGGGAGTTCCTGGAGGATGAACATTGTCAGACAAAGATGACACACATGCACTTAGGGGCCACACGAATCACTCAATACTATTCTGTATTATTATGGGTTGAAAGCCTGCTGCATCATTTTTTCAATTTGATTTTTGGAGTATCTTTGAATTCAGCCCTCTGTAGGTTGATGATTTTCATTTCCATCAAGTGATGTGGCATCCTGTCCTTCCAAACACATTACCCAGTCCATATGACTCATGTATACAGCATGATTTTTTTCATATTGAGTGTTGCTTTCAGTGTGTCCCTTTATTTTTATTTTTATTTTTATTTTATCAGTGTATATATGAAGAGACAGTTTTGATCATTAGGTTCGATCTAAGGTTTTACCGATGAATTAATTTGAAAAGAAAGAACAATAAAGAAAATTCAAATAGAAAGTCATTATTTTCCAATTAATGAGGTTATGAATTCAAAATGAATTATGGCCATCTTGTTTTTCTTTGCATCTGATTGGTAGCTGAAGACATTATTAACTTATTAAGGGCCAATCTGGGAAACCAGAAGGCTTTTGTGCTGGCTTAACCTATAGATAATATTTTTTTGAAGGGACCATGTCCAGTGGCTATCCAGGCAAAGACTTACTATTCTATTATGTGGTCCTTGTTTACAAATGCAGATACATTTTTAAAAAGCTAATAAAAATTGCTTTTGTTTTAACTACAATAGATTACAATAACACCATATAAGAAAGTGCCGTCCCTGCTTTGCTCTCTGTGGAGATCATTGATCTGCATGTAGCATGAGCCTAGCTGCTCTACCTTATCAATAGAATCTGAATACCTATATGCAAAGAAATAAAAAAAATAAATAATGAAAATGTATTCAACAGCTGTTCAAACTCAAGCATCATAAGTACTGAGCTGTTATCTGTTTGGAAATGAAAGGCGTCATTGTTCGCATCCTTCCATCTCCAAACCCGGCAACTGCAAGCGCTTTGTTGCATTCTTCATTTGTATTTTTTTACTCACATGTAATTCTACGGCTTTCACACAGTTCAGCTAACATTTCTGCTACTCTTTGGTGATCATTAAATATTGTCTAAATGTCTTACACCAGCACATTTTTTGGACCTGCATTAATTAATTAAAAATAGGTCACAGCCATTTAAAAAAGGGAGATGTAGGGTTATTATCCTGTGCAGATGATAAACCAATGCAGATTTTAAAAAGCAATGTGTTTTTATGTGCATATTTGTTTAATATTTGTTCATTGTGCCATTTATTTATTTAATTATTTATTTGTGTGCATTTATGTGTCTGCTAACAGCTGTGTGCTTATTTGGTGGAAGAGAACTGGTGGAAGGAGATCAGAAAGCTGTACGTGACTCTGCTGGCAGGTGCCTGCTGTTTGAATGCAGGGTAAGTCATATCAGCACACACACACAAAGGCACGCACGCAAGCAAACACACACACACACACACACACACCCCTATACAAACACACGAGCAAACACACACACACACAC